CGGCAGCGCCACGGGCCGCGTGGAGGGCTTCGCCAGCGCCCGCCAGCTCTACGCGCAGATCGCCCAGGTCTTCGGCATCAACCCCGCGCAGGTAGGGTCCGACAACCGCCCCCCGCCGGCGACACGCGTGGGGCGGCGCCGTGGCGCTGCGGGGCCTTCCTGGCCGCCTCCTGGCCGTTTAGGAGGGGGAAAGCAAGCTGGTGCCTCTTCTGAAGTAGCGACTTTCCTAGAAAGCGAAGGACTGTTTCATCTTATATATATATATAAATCAACTAACTTCTTTGCACAGCCCCCAAATTAGTCATTTTATCTCAAGTAGCTCCAGGATTTTAGTTAACCCGGCATTGACTGGGTGTTTGGTGCAACTTAATGTGTTAATGTGTGCAGGTAGTAAGTGCAGGGTCAAGCAGTGAATGTCGTGGGAGGGGGGAGGATTAAACCCAGGGCAGGGGATCACTGGTTGCAGTGATTTTTTCTGGTTTTAAATATATATTATAAATATATATTTAAATATATATTATATATACACACGCATATATAATCTCCATGAGGATAAATGTACAGAATGTTGGCAATAGGGTAAAATGCTTTAAACTCGGCTTAAAAAAAAAATGCAAATGAATATGATGCTGAGCCGTGGAAAAAAGTTCTGCTTTGCCAAATGGTTACTTTTAAAAAGACAATTGCTGAAGGGAAGCCTATTCAAGATATAATAGGATTTATTTTTATTTTTTTACTCAGTTGCGTTTTTGATCTTTTTTCAGCCGAGCTGGAGCGTTTGTTTGGATTGTGATTCGTTTGTGTTTGTGAATGCATTGTTCCCCTTAGTTGAAAGGCAGGGCCCCTATCAAGTTCTTCCTACTCCGTCCTGTGAACCTTAACCTCTCAGTGACAACTTACAACAAAGTGTTAAAGTTTTGTCCTGCTTTTTTGTATGTTTTGTTATGTACGTAATATTTTTATGTGCTTTTAACTTTAGTATTCATGCCTGTTTCCTTTTAACTGCTACAGACTTTGCTCAGAGAGTTTGCTGTGGTTAAGCCTTGGAGCACTTTGAATAAATTATGGAAGTGGCTGCAGACACAGTTTAACCAGTCGCTCTCGCATTAAGTAATTAAGACCTACCAGTACCCTTGCCAGCCTTGCACCTGCATCCCAGACGGTCTCAGCCACTTCCTGACCTCTTGCTTCTCCATTTTCTTTCCATACGGAGCTTCTGTTCCTATGTTATCTGCTCTGTTTCTAGTTGCAGTTCTTACTTTCAAGCCTTGATAGTTGTCAGATCACTTTTCTGTTGTATAAAATGAAAACAGTGATCAAAGTGACTTCCTGCTACAAATCTGGACTGGATCCTCGACAGAGAAAGTGGAACAGGATAGATCAGTGGATAGCAAGCAACAATTATGGAAAGCATCTGAATATAAATGTTAAAATATTTCATATCTTGAAGCAGTTTTGCACTGAGGCTGTCTTGTTTAAGGAAAGGTTATGGTTTAGCTCTGCATAAATAAGTTATGTTTCTTTGCTCAGAAAGAAACTTGATATTGGCTATAAGAGAAAGTTGCACTCGAAACTAGTGAAAAATATTACAAGACACTGTGTAGATTTGTTTTAGCTCTGAGCACGTTGGCAGGGCGTTCATTTGCAGTCAGTCTCTAATGGCCTTACTTCAGTGCACCTTTGCATGTCATACTTAGGACAAGGAAATTTATATATTCTTTTGTGTAATCACATGGCCAAAAATATTTTTAAGGAATAATTGAATCATTGGCACAATTTAAAATGCTAAGATTTTTTACGTGTGCTTTTTACAAAGCTGAGAAAGCAAAAATACTCCAAAACTTGGAAGTTCAGTGCATGCCTATGATTGCAAAATACTGGGAGTAATTGGTAAGTATAAATAATTCTAGTGCATGAATAGCAATAGTCTAGTGGCTGAGCAAATGGAAAAGAGCAACACGTGGGGTTCATGGATACCTAAGCCAAGGAACCTAGCAGTAAAGGTAGTATTTGTATAACACAGTGGAAGATCTGACAGGGCTGAAGACAGAGTGACTGAAAAATTGAAAGATCAAGTGATTCCTTCATGGTCCAAAGCACAAGGATTTCGCTGTACTGTGTTTTAAGGGAGGGATGAACCAACTTTCTGACTGGGATGCCACAAAGTGCATGGAATTGTTAACAGCAGAGCTTGTTGGAATGCAAAGTGTAGGCACCTTAAATGGCATTATTTATTAATTAAAGCTGCTTTGGGGATGCTGGTGTAAGAAATAACACCTGAATGTGGACCTCAAACTGCAAGGCCCTGAGGTGCTCGAATCCCATTTGGAGCTGTTACCTGCCTAGGAACCTTTGTGTGACCTGACTGCTCTGGAGCCTGTGGGCATCGTGAGACCCGAAGGCCTTTGGGAAGGAGCGTTATGGCCGAGATCTGCTCCGCAGCGACCACGGTGGAAAAGAGGAGAGGGGCGAGGGGGAAGCTCCACGAGGAGAGCGCTTGGCAAGCTGCGGCAGAAGCAAGTGACCTTAACATGATATGGGTTTTGCCATCGGCGTGGGCAAAGATGTGAATCCATGGGCGTGTTTTTCCTTAAGTGTTTCAGCAGCGCTTGCATGGGATATCCTTGTAGTCTGTCACTTCCTTCGACTCCCCTGGTTACAGCACCCTTGTTTCCTCCTTGTATTACATCCCGCAGGAGCAGCTGAGCTTCTGCTGGAGATCCCTTTCCAGGGTCCTTGGTTGACTCCAAAGAGTGATGAGGGAAGCTGGTGTGAAACGTGGCATTTCCTGGATAGGTGCTATGGGTCAGTGCAGAGTGAAGCGCTTCTGTCAGGCCTGCCTCAGGAGCAGGACATGGTGGGGAAATGTCCCACAACACGGCTGCTTTGTGTAGCTTTGAAAGAATGTTAAATGCGGGTAGCTGGAGTTAAGGGTTTTCATGTGCCTTCCCTGAGTTGGACTATTCTCATCTGAACTTCTGCCCTCCTGGGCTCCAGCCCATGCTTCAAGTTGCTGACATGGATCCTGTGCTGAAATCCCATTCTTTTCCCCACTATTTGCCATCCTGTGACCCATGTGGGCTTCTGGTGCTGGAGGGAGATGCTACCAAGTAACATCCCATGGAGAAGTTGGCTGCCACCGCCTTGGTCTCCCCCCCCAGACTCCATGGGGGCTCTTTGCTTTTCCAGTGCTCATCTTCTCTTGTCCGTGTTTTTTCCTTCTCTTTCTCAAGGCAAATGCCAAATGTCTCAGTTCCCTTTTGAATCTGATGTTCAGTGTGTATTTCTGCCCACCTCTTTTGTTTACCCAGCATTTTTTTTTTCCTGGCCCAAACAGAAAGCCCTTTCCGCAGGGAGAGGGAGGAAATCCTGCTTCTGGCAGCACATCACCACTACCAGCCCTAGTTTGAGATGGGTCATTTTGGTCTGGGTTTAGCTTGGTTTCTTTAGCAAGGTTTCTGAAAATCATTTTGGTCTGGGTTTAGCTTCTTGGTTTCTTTAGCAAGGTTTCTGAAACAGAGTGCTAAATAAAATGGATAATATTCTTTGTACTGACATAATACAGCTGCCTCCTCTGTCCTTCCTATAAAGGATCGAGAATGATGGTAGTTGGGAAATGTATATGCATATGGTCTCGGCTGCTTAGGGTTGCTATTCCTACTTCTCTGTTTATAGGGAAGCGTGGCATGGGATGTTACGTTCTTTCTTAGGGTAGAAGTGCCAAGTGCAGCTCATACCATAAACTGAATAAATAAGCATTGACTAAAGCACAATGTAGATGTAGTCAAGTGCTAGGTGGTGGTTTGCTTCTGTGGGTGTGCACAGTGGGGTTTTAAAGTATTCAAAACAGCACTAGAGATGTGAATATTAAAGTTTAATGGTGGCAGAGCAATTCCTTGACCAGGTGATATTAAGCAAATATTACAAAATATTACGTATTATAAGTTATAAAGGCGCAGCTAGTGGGCTTTCAGCTTGTGCATTCAAAACTTGTTCTCTTGATTACTTTGTTTGCTTTGTAAGGTGAAACGTGGTGGGGCTGGAAGTTGAGCAGGGTGGAGCCCATGAAGGTTGGGCTTTCCTCCAACGTGGAAGGATTGCTGCTCCATAGGGAAACTTGTGAGGAGATGCAGGAAAAGGGTAAACGTCCCAGTAGTACCAATACCAGAAGGTGGGTCCTCTTTCTGTAGCAAGACTCCAACGGGGCGGCTGCGCCTGCGCCCGGGCTGCTGTGCCAAGAGCCCGGCCATCTCCTGCTCAACAGGGAGCCAGGGGGGAGGCTGCATCACGTTGAGCTCTCACACAAGGGTTTGATGAAAAACTGGTCGATTTGAACACTTATGAAACAGCATACTGAAAAATATATGTCCTAAATCAGATGTCTGAATCAAAAAGTCTGAAGCACGTTTTAGCAGGTCAGAGAAAAGGGTCAGCTTGTGACAGCCTCATTTCTAATACAAAAATTCTCAGAGCTTCAGCATATCTGCTTATGCATGGAAACAAGTTGTCCATGATCTCATCTATGGATTGAAGACTTCAGAGGAACAAGCTTAATAGCCTCTCTGAACCTTTTCCTTGCCATGTTATGGCAACATTTTTTTTTTTTTTGCTTGCTTCAGGTACTTCTGTTGCCCTAAGTGATGCTTACATTTGATAGCTTGTTTTATGTGTGATGCTTGCTGTGTTAATGGTCTGCTTCTCAAAAACTTTCCAGCCATAAGGAAGAATTTACCCTGCAGTTCTTCTGCACGTGCAGTGGCAAAATATCAGTAAATTAGTAAATACCTCTTGTGGTACTGGGGATGAGTTTGGGTTGTGTCACTGGAGGAGTGCCATGAGCGTGTTGGTGCTGCTGGTCTCTCTGCTGCCATTGGGTAGCTCCTCTGTTCCTCCTATGAGGAAAAAGTGAGTAAAGCAGCTGGAAAATGCTGGAAAGTAGCTTGTAGTGATGTCATTGTATAATGCCACCTGGATGTATACAGAAAGGCATTATCAGATGTTCTGCCTTGCTTGGTAGCAGGAGTCCTCTTCCCCGCCTTGTTAAATAGAGAAAGTGATTATGATTTCTTTTATAAAGTGGTTTGAAATCTGTTGATTAAAAAGTACTTTTAATAGCTTCCGAGTATTTCATCAGTCAAATTGTTTTTTGACTTCCTAAGATGTAGGCTTAATTTAGAAGATGAGAATGTTTAATATGTTTGCCTAAATTCATGCAGTATCATACTGTATATCAAACATACTTTATATAACACAAAGTATAACCTTGTTTTTCTTGGCAAACGCAGTCCCCTATTTGAAAATACTGATGCAAGGACTAATCCGTTAGTAATCTTATCCAAGAAATCTATTTTGTAAGGCTGTGCATCAGCCCCCGGTATCTCTCAGCCAAGTGACACTTCCTGCTGCTCCACGTGCTGCAGCAGAAGAGCTCTCCTAGATGCTCGGTGGCCAATGTAACAGCCATGGTTTGTAAGAGCTTGCTAAAGTCGGCACGAGATGTCACAGCACGGCTATGCTGAGCTGGGGATCAAAGGGCTCTGAAGGGTGGGGAGAGGGAGAAGATGTTATAATGAAGGTGCTTATGTGTTTATTTCTTCCTGTTTTGCTTCTGGGTAGGAAAATTACTTTGAGAATATATTCAGCCTTCTTTTGAGTAAATGAAAAGTGTGCTATGGTAACTGTTGTTGAATTTTCAGTATTTAAGCCATTCTTAGGAGGTACCAATATTAAACTTATACATAAGTTATGTCCAAAATGTCATTTTTGCATTGGCAGTTCTCAGTCATGTACAAATAAAGCTGAGCCGTAACTGATACTTGGTGTAACTGTATAGTGTCCTGGGTAGATAGAGCTTTAGTACCTTTGTGCGTTATCTGTTCTGAGAAAGAGAAACAGTTGCTTGGTAAAGAGGATAAAGAATGATTTAAGTTTTATTTTTGCCTGGCTGATGCTCTCAGCCTCGGGGGCAGTGCAGAACTGACTCACAAAATCCTGCAGACTTGCAGGCGGTGGTGGGGATGCCATCCAGATGAAGGTCTAAAAAGAGAAACTGGATCAAGTTTCCAAATATCACATTTCTGCTGCGTTGCCAGTTTTATCTATTCAAAGGTGTGAAAGTAGTCACTAGGTGATTGTCTCTGTGCCACAAGGTGACATGAAGGATACTGGTGTCTTCCAAAAATAAAAATATGATGCATGATGTTCACTGTAGAACAAAAAAGAGCTAGAGTTGTGAACTGACAAAGTTAGGCAGCTTGAGAGAAAGCTAAAAATTGTATATAATTTTATGTACGGTATTTTTAAAAATCAAGCCCTTTGAAAACTGCTTGAGTGGGATCTTCTTGGTAAAAATAATCTCTAATAATAATCTTTAATCCTAAGTATTACTATTTATAAAGTAAAATTTAAATTTCTACTTAGCTATTTGGAATTTCTCTAGATGATGGTACTGTAGGAGTGATGCTTATCTGAAATTTTGGTACTACTTGAGAGAATATAACTAAGATCGGTTCAATGAGTGTTGCTATGTTGCTATGAATCTCACTGCTGAAGGCGTTAGGATGTGGTAATGGTTTGCAGGGTGTCAAGATAGGCAATTAGCCTTTCCTGCAGGGCATTTAAAAAAAAAAAAAAAGCCACCATCACATCTTTTTTTTTTTTTAATTCATTTAAAAATGTAAGTCATGGATAAGTAATGGGTAGAGTCAATTCCAGGGAAAAAAACGAAATTTAAATATTCTCTGTGAAATATAAATAGTATCTGCTTTGCAAACTTTTGAATGCATTTTTTCATAGGCTGACATATACTTATTTTTTAGTTCTTGCATTAATATGGTGGCTCGTACTTTTTTGTTTATCTACTTATTTTTCTTCCCTAACCATGAGTTGCTCTGAAAAACTGATTTGTGGTGTATGTAACAGGTTAGACACCAGCTTCTGCTATGACCCTGCTGCTGAATTTGCTTTAATGACTCATCCTTCTTGATTTAAGGAAATCTAATTTAGAGCTCATATGGGCTGATACAGGATCCAAGTGTAAACTTTGTGGGCGGCCAAATGCGTAAGAATTAAATATCTAGCACCAATAAAGAAAATGCCCGTTCAATGAGTGGGGTTGGTGCCTTCTTTAAGGGTCTGTAAACTGTGATCTACTTCAGAATATTAATCTTCATTCACTTGGAGAATGAACCTGTATTTATGCTTTCAAGAAAGGATAAAATATAATTAAACAAAGATGATGACTGAAATGGCAAATATCCTTATGCTCCTACCATCCCTTGGCCATCCCTTGTTAATACTCTTCTCTTACTTTTTTTTTTTTCAAAATATCTTGATATTGTCAAACGAAAATAAAAAGGTGGCTGCTTATATATTAAAAAATCTTGAGTTGGTTTGATTAAGATGAAGTTTGTTCAGCTTTATGTCACCAGGAGTGTCACTGCTGTTCGGCACAGCCTTTGAGGCTATGTGGGATTTTCAGTGCTGCATGTCGTTGCTGATATGTGCATTCAAGCACCGTATATACGTTTGTTAGCAAAACGTGCTGTCTCTGTTCGTGTTTTCCTGACTCTCCCATCTTGTTCTTAACGTACATCTCAAACGCCGAAGGCAGCAGTCGCTATAAGGCTGCCCTGCTCAGGGCCGTGGTTGTGTCCCCCATTTCCTGAGAGGGGCTGTGGCCCTGAGGGCCATTCATCCGCTTCTGATGGAGCTGGTGCCGTGGGGTTGGCTCATAGGTGCTCATAAATGACCATGAAAAGGACATTTCATACCAGTCTGACTCCCCCAAAGTCTCGGCCAGGACAGCTTCCCTGAGGTCTCGGTTGCTTGTTGCCAGTTGCTCCAAAACTGGTGCTTTGTGGTGCCGGTGGCTGGAGCTCCTGCTCTGCCTGCCCTCCCTCCGCTGGCCCTGAGAGGCTGCTCGTGCTGAAACGTTTTTCCTATACCTCTTGCCAACGCTTATCTGTGGAGTTTGAGCTATTGACATTTCCCAGCGCATGAGGGGCTGTTGCCTGTTGACACTCCTGAGTCTGCTCAACATGGAGAAGGATTATTTCTTTGGCTACAGGACTTTCAAAGCAGCCAGAATTGCACCTGCCTCTTATCTCCCCACCAGCTAACCCAGTTCAAAAACCCCATATGTTGTTTAACTTTAAGATAATTTATTTCTCTCCTGCACAGATCATGTTTTGCACTTTGAACACTCATAAAGTTGATATGGACAAGCTCTTAGGAGCACAAATTGGCCTCGAAGACTTTATATTTGCCCATGTGAAAGGACAACGGAAAGAAGTGGAAGTTCTAAAAAATGAGAATGTGCTCGGGCTTACTATCACGGACAATGGGACAGGCTGCGCATTTATAAAGGTAAACTTAATTACCTGCCAGATATTAAGCTTCTTTAGAAGCTTCTATTATTATAGCAGGTTAATTATTATTTTAATGATCCTCTAGAGACTTCTCTATCCTATGTATGGCAAGTATAAAAAAAAAAAAAAAAAAAAAAAAAAACTTTTTTTAGACGCATCATTCAAAACAAGTTCAGCTATTTCTGTGCTGCACGTCATTCAGACGGTTCCTTTATTCGCTGTTCTGAAGTGCAGCTCAGCTCCCAGTGTGACCGTTTTCTTCTCTGATCTGCCCTGAGGGTGGAAGGTGTTAGATGCTGCTTATATCCATCCACCCCCTCCTCCCTTTTATGGTGATTTTCTGATGTCTTTGCTGCCTATTGAACACCTGTGGCTTGTGCGATAAGGAGATTGCTGCTCTTCAAGAGCGCTGGATGCCTGCTCGCAGTGCAGGAACCTCCCTGCTTCTGGAGAACATGTGCCAGCACAGTGCGTTTTCACCTCTCCAGCCCTGCCTCAGATGTGTAGGGTGAAATAAGAGGTGCTGAGATTATTGGTTGACACACTTAATCGCAACTGACTTAAGTAGAAAGTATGGGCATAATTCCTCCTGTAATTAATCATAATTCCTTCCTTTACCATCTTCTGTGTGACCTCCAGATAGTCCATCTTGAGACAAATGAAGACTGAGTAGAGGTTGCATTTTGCATTCATTTTGTAGCTAACTTAGCTATAAAATCGGATGTCACCTAGGAACAGGTTTGCTGGCTTTTGCAGTAAAAAGCATGGTTAAGATGGCCCTTGGTGAAGTCCGGGCACGGTGGGGTTTCAGCAAGCAGTTCAGCAGAGCTGTAGCCCAAGCTGCAAGTTCGGGGACGAGAACAGGGTGTCTGTAGTGGCAGCTTGCAGGGCTGGGGACCTGGGGAATCACCAGCAGTTCTGTCTCTGTTTAAGGCCATAACCTAGGCCACACTTGCACCTGGCACCAAAATCCGTGAGTTCTTTTGCAACAGGATCTGATGTTGTTTGCCTCAATAAAACCAGGACCTGGTGTCATGCTGCTGTCACAAATCTGCCTTGTGTGTACATAGCCTGATGAAAAGCTGTGTTATAAATTCAACATAGTCATGCAAGGAGTAACACTTGAAGCATTTTGTAAATGCTTAAGACTGCTCTGTTACAGCATGATGTATAAGCAGATCGTGTGAAAATGGAATAGCAAAGGGAATTACAGGCACGACTCGAAATACAGATCCCAGTTTCTAACTGGAGTGTAAAGCAATTGAAATAGAGGCATCTCAATTGCACCTTAATTGCTGTACCAATATAGCTTGGCTGTCTGTCACTTGCAGTGACGGTAATAACTATGTCATGTAAAGCTTCGAGTACTCCACAAATAGTCAGTATTACTTACTGTGCGGTTATTAGGATCCAAGAAAATAAGAAAAGCTAAATGGGAATGAATTTAAACACTAATTATAGTGTGGTAGGCACCGTTTTGAACTGTGGCACCTCATAACAGGGATGCATTTGGGGCCTGGGTCTTGTGCCTGCCCAGTGCCCCTTCTCCCTTTCCCATAAAGACTCTTCAGTTTTAATCCAAGTTAAGTGAAAGAGAAGTGCTGTAAAGAGTTAATGCAGCCTGAAGTTAAAAATTGACTCGCTATGCGGCAGGACAAGGAGCACTATCACACTTCCCACCGGTGTGCGTGGATGTGGGCGCACGTGGGCTCTGCATGCAGATTTCTGCAGTGGCTCTGCTCTAGGCTGGTGCTGCAGGAGGAGGTGACAATGTGTTCATCCCCCTTGTCTCGCTGGGGACCTTCTCAAAGTTTGTGTGGAACAACCTCAGTCTCTAGGTAAAAACATGTGATTCAGGAAGGTTTTTGAAAGAAATTCATATGTCTGCAAAATAAGATGTTGTGGTATGTTAGAGGTTTTCCATGAAATGTATTACACATGTAGCTCCATATGTAGCTCAATAAGGAAAATGATAAAGATAAGGCCTACCCGAGAACACACTGTTATTGTATGTAACCTTTTAGTGCTTCATGCTTATTTTTCTTTCCCTGGGCCATATTTGAAAAGAAAAAGGTTCTCTTCCTACTCTTGCCAAGCTACTAAATTTAAGGATTAAAGCTAAAATATTTCTATTACTGGCACATTCGATTTGAGTTTGCAAACACAAAAGTATTGGAAATATTGAAATTCTTAATTTTCCAAATTTGCATCCTTTATTTTTACTGATGGTTTTATATTCAATACATATTAAAACTATTTAAAAGTAATGCTTTCTAAAACACGCTTTATAGAAATATTATACCCAAAACTCACGGCTGCCATATTAAGTGTAATCTTACTGATGTTTTTAATTGATCAAGGTCTCGAAACTCTGTGGTATCACTGGCTTGTCTTTTAAAGAAATGTTTTTATTTTGGGTTTGTTTCTTTCTTTTTCTTTCTTTTTCAAACAATAGCGAATTAAAGAAGGCAGCCTAATGGACCAAATCAAAACTGTCTGTGTGGGTGATCACATAGAGTCTATAAATGGGATAAATGTGTCAGATTGTCGACATTACAAAGTTGCCAAGATGCTAAAAGACCTGGAGAAAGGTCAGATATTTAAGCTGGAGTTGATAGAGCCCATGAAAGCATTTGGTGAGTAGCTGGATGCCGTCTACCTTGTTTGCTAATAATCCTTTCGTGCATTCACTTCATCAGGTCTGGTAAAATTGAAAAAAAAAAAGTTACTAGTTTAACTTAGAGTCAAAATATGTGATTGTTTTTTAATTTTAATTTTCTTTTTGATCTCTTTTCCATGAGCCATTTATATTTTTCTATAATAAAAATAGTTTAAAAACTTGTTATGAGCATATATATACACACCTGCATTGACACAAAATTTGAAATAATCTTCACTGTAATAGCAAAAGTTTGAAATATTTATTTTCCAAATTCTTTTTATTTGTTACCAGTTTGATGTCATACACTAGTTTTGACACTTGGTGTCAGAATAACAGCAGAAATTGAAAATGAGAGGATTTGATTTTTTTTTTTCTTTTGTTTCTACTGCGAAGAATGAAGATTATGAATTAATCTCTAATGTCTTTAGAGGTGAGGTCACTTTCTTGTTAACATATAACATAAACATTTACTTATTTATACTTGAGTAGTACTAAAAGTAATATTTTGTATATAACAATCTTTTTAATATAAGTCCATAATTTCTGTTCAGTGCTAGATCTGCTATATAGTTTGCCTGTAAAGATCAGAGTAAATCAGCATTTGGATGGTGGCTTCAGCCATTAGCTAATAGTACTTTAGTAAGATGATTAAGATATCTTTTAGTCTGCCTGATTGAGAGAATCCTGCTCATTCCACGGCAATATGTTTTATTTAAAATGAAATCAGAGGCAATCAGAACGTCTTGGAAAGCTGCATTTTATTTTTTTACCTTACTGAAATTAATTTGCAGATTGCAGTGCCCAATGTTAAGTTGCTTAGAATGTCTTGACTCTTACCTTAGGTGCAGTTGAACTTTAGGCATGGATTTATAAAAGAGCTAGGGTTTAAGGTGCAGTACTCTGATTCCAGAGAGGATTATGAAAAAGATCCAGATCCTGTTGCACAGGTAGGTGCTGAATTCCCAACAATTTCAACAGAATCTAATTCCTTTAAACTTTTTAAGAGTCTAGACATGAGACAAATCTCTGTGTCAAATTATGAAGTTTTTATTTATTTTCCTTCCTACCAGCAGAGTATGGAATGAATATTGTTTACTTTCTGGGATGGTGGTAGTATTCCCATAATGGTGATGAAAGATGCATGAAGACCAGCATTTTAAAACAAGTCTGATGGAAATAGTGAAAACTTTAAGCATAAGTTTAAATTGCCCTTGAAACCATCAAAAGATTGAGAGAGAAGTGTTGATTATATGTCTACAGACTTTTTTTCTTTTTTAAAATATAAGAATAGTTAAAATTTGTTTTTTAGCCTTGTTTAGTAGTCTGCCTTTTGACACAATTATGATAGACACATGAAGTTGAGTACAACGTCCTTGCAGACACTTTGGTCAATTAATACTTGTGTTTAGTGCAGAGGAATGTGTTTCAGAAGTTGAAGACACGGTTATTATCCACAGAGATGTAGTGAATAATAATTCAATTTTTATATCTCTCCAGGTGATATTTAGAATAAAAAGTAAAGGTAATATAGTAATCAGCCAAATTAAATGCATCATATTTGACTAATACTTAGTTTTGCTTGGCTTTCTTTTCTGTGTTTTTGTTTTGTTTTGTCTTTAGAAATGTTGGAACCAAGGTCACAAGGTGGATCTCTGCCAGAGGCTAAAATCTCCAGAGGGAGAGAAACGCTTCGACTGAGAACGAAAGGCCCTGCCACTGTGGAGGAAATGGTATCGTTATCTTGGGACCTGGAATAGCTAAATTTTCTACCACCTGATTTACTCTTCCCTGAGGTTTATAATATAAATCAGGAAAGAAAAATCTTGTATGGTACAAAGCTTGTTGGACTGCTTTCTGCAGGGAGGAGTGTTTATTTTAAGTGGAAGACCTGGTTTATACCTAGATGAACATAGCCTTGGTTCTGGGTGAGGACCAAAGTCTACCAGTTTCTTTGTGAGAAAGCATACAATAACTTATGCACACTTATACACACTTATATTATGTACACATTATGCACTTATGTACACTTCCATATTAAGCGCTATGTAATAGATTTAGGTTGGAGGGACCTTTACTTAGTCAAACCTCCTGCCTAAAACAGGTCTAACTTAAAGCTAAGTCAGATTGCCCAGAGTTTGCCCTGTTGAACCTCTGAAATCAATCAAGGCCAAGGGGAAATTGGGCGGGATGTCTTTGCACGTGTGTTCAAGGGCTATTTGTTTGCTTTGGGATTTTTTAAATTTTGGTAGATATAAGCATCACGAGATTGTGGCTTGTGAGAAGCATGACTGACCAGCTTGCTATCCAGATACTTGGTGCAATATTAAACCAGATGAGACTGAGGAGTGTTAAAAAAGCACAGAAGTAGGGGGAAAGGATGAATGAAGAGTCGGTTCTGTGAAAGTTACTATTTTTGACACTATAAAAAGGCTAGAAAAGAAGGGAGAAGTGAAATCTCTTTTACTAATAGGTTTTGTAAGTCTAGATGGGTAGGATGGGAACTGGTGCAATCAGCAGCCAGGTGCTGATTAATGTGAAATTTGTTGAGATAAGTATAGTTATGGTTTTACTCTGTTTCTCTCTTTCAACAAAGCCATCAGAAGCTGAAGAAAAAGCAATAAAAAAGGTGGATGAACTTCTTGAAACATATATGGGGATAAGAGACATTGAATTAGGTGAGCACTTAAAGCAAGCATTACTATGTGATTAAATCACTTCTCATTTTGTGCAATGTAAAGCTATTTTAAGCATTTTAATCTCTGGATGTTGAGGCCTGGTATGAAAAGAAGGCCGGATGTTGAGGCAAAATTTGTTCTGTGTGGATTCCTAAAAACTCCAATTTTTCTCCAGATATATCTCTCCAATAAAGAATCTTTCACTACAAACCTTGAAATTAAATTAATCCTTTATTCTTCCCATATGTTATGCATTTCTATTTCATAGAGTATTATTTCCTAATTTACTGTCATCTCTGTTTTCCTTCTGGCAGTTATTTTCTAGTGGAATTTGTATGCATTATGTCTAAGAATTGTTAAGGACAAGCATATCTATTCACTTTTATTCAGGCTCTTTTGTTCCTTTACATAGATAAATCAGATTCAATCACTAAAGTTCAAATGTGACATCTTCAGCAGTAAAAGGGCAAATATTTAGCAGTGGATCTGACAAAATCCTTGAACAAGTTTATCAAAATTTCTGAAGCCTGTAGTCTGAAGAAACATCGGAAATGTTCCAGAATATTTGCTAGCCATCAAAATCAGCAATTTATAATGAAAAAGTTGTTCAATCTTAGTATCTAAAGCTCCTTAAAATGCATGTTTAATTGCATCAAAAACGTTCTTGGCGCTGTTGTCTCTCCCTTAGCCTCACGACAATGAAACTTCTCTTTGTAAGGCACGAAGCCACTAATGTTTTGCAGTCGAGTTGAATAACAAGCTCCTCTGTAGGGAGCTGTGACTGGATGAGGTCCTCAGGCGGTGCTGAAGAACCTGTAATGCCCTGGAGTCCCTCTCTTGAGACCAAGGGAAAGGTATTTATTATGGTAACATCTAAAAGTCAGCCAAAAATTAGGAAGGGATAAGCTAAATGGAAAGACACTGAAAAGAAACCTGTCTGGGAGAGAAGGACAGCCAAAGCAGAAGGCATCGAGAGAACAGACCTGGCATGAAACAGAGACTGGGCAGGCAGCACCGAGGAACATGGACAACAGGAGATCATCTGAATAGCCAGAAGTCCTGTGCTGGCTGCTCCTGCCGGCACGTATCTAGCTGGCAGCAACTTCTTCCTTTTTTTTTTTTTTTTTGTGAGGAAAATAGTAGGTAAAGTACTATTTGTTCTCCAGCTGAAGATAGAGATGGGATCCCCGATACGGAATGGAGAGGAGTGCTGGCCAGAGCTTCTCGTTTTCAGGAAATGTCTAAACTTTCCAGTTCCCCCAAGCTTGAAAACTTCTCAAAAACTGTTTCAGCATCTCTCACATGTGATGCCTCTGGCATGTAGTATGTTCCCTGGAGCCCAGTGTGGTGCTGGTCTCCATCGCAGCTGGTGGATCCCATGTCCTGTGGTTCCCTGCAGCCTCTGCTGATCCATCCCTTGCTGGCTCAGGTGTCAGAGCTCCTTGGGCTCGAGCTGGCTGCCCAGTCTTGGAGCTCCTTTTGTCATGAATCTCAGGGCTCCTATCCTCGCTGGTACCCATTCTAGGGTCTCCAGATGCCTGGCAGTACAGGCAGTATTTTGGAGGTCTAATAAGCAGCTCCAAGGGTTCTGGTTTCAGTGTCTATAGCCTTAGGCCTTGAGATCCTAGACTATGGCATGGTTTCTTGGGGTACCTAAAAGTTGTGCTCTGCTTTGGGGCAGGGAAGAGAATTCCCGTAGGAGCTGGTGTTTGCTCTTTTTTTTTTTTTTTGTCTCTCGGTACCATGGCTTTTGTATGGTGGACCGAGTTTAGTTCTTGGCGTGTGTAGCTGAGCTTGTCATATGGTCATAAAGCACCTGGTGGAGCTCTTCCATGAATTTTCTAATTCCATATATCTTTTAGAGTGTCTCTTTGAAAATATAAAAGAATGCTTTGCAAGAATGCTCAAAGAACGAAGAAATCTTTGTCCTCAGAGCTCAGCTCTTCCTTCCAACTGGGTTTATATTTTGCTCCTCATCTCTTCCTACTTTCCTCCCAGAAAGGCAGTGAAACAAACAGAAATTGCGATCATCAAAGACCCAGTAGCATTAACTTGCACTTTTAATGCCATTCCTGAAAGTTCAAATATTAGAATCAGTGGCCACAGGGTGATGACAAAAGAAAAGTATTTTTTATTATTTTTAAACAGTTAAACAGCTCTAGGACTCTTTAGGAAAGGAGAGCTAATCACCTGTCACAAATCTGTTCAATTAACATATGTCATTTTTTTTATATACTAGATGTGATCAGTCACTCATGAAAATGAAATATGAGGAAAGGATTCATTCAGAGGATGCCAATCACCATTCAGCTAGAAATTTCACTCATTACTCAAGGCAGATTAGCTGAAAATGCAAGTCATCACAATGCGACAGCCGACAGGTGATTAAGATCTCAATCATTGCTCACTCCCATGCAGCTCTGTTTGTCAGAAGCTTTGGTTGTCAGTTAATATTACTCTTTTATCTCCACAAAAATGACACTTGCATAGTGTGATCAAATTTTGAAATACTGCCCCGATTTTAAGCTGGTATTAAAAAAAAAAAAAAAAGGGAACAATAATAAAATTACAGATAGAATTAAAGATGAGATAAAGCCCTTAATTTTTGCATAGTTAAGTATCTTGACAGTTTAAAGAATGGCTGACTACATCTACACACAAATACCCAAGCTGGAGTAAAATGCTTGGAAATCGTTTAATGGAAATGAATCCAATTACTGTTTTTTCTGACACAGCTTGTTATTTTCTGCAATTCATGGATCTAAATGGTGTCAAGATTTACATACCTGCCTCTGTAATGCACTCTTACCTTTTCACCTCTCTATTCCATTTTACTGAAAAATGAAGTTTGTCAGCAGAATGTACCTTTGGCTCTGGAGACGTCTTGTTTGGGTGTTTTATCGGCACACTAGAAATTGGGCCAATTCAGCCTTGTTTAAAATATTAATTGGTTGCTGAGAGCTGAAACTAATGGAAAGATATTTAATGCCAGTGCATTCCGGTAGAAGAAGGTAAATATCTAGCTGTTCAGGGAAGCAGTGGCATTGAGGGTTTTTAGTGTCATTTCTTGTTTTAGTCCTTGGTGCTTGAATCAGGATGGGCTCTGCTCGATACTAAAGACCCTGGGAGGGAGAGAGCCTGAATCTATAGCATACAACCCTGAATGTTACTGATGGGAAGAAAAACTGTGGCAGAGGCAGCTTCCCTTCCAAATTTTGGATCCTATTCCTGTTCTCTTAGTGTTTCTTTCAGTTGTTTTTTATTCACCTATCGGTTTCACTTCAGTCTATTTACTTCAGTCTAGTCTAAATGTATCTGACAAGTTTAAAACTTTTGTCACCAAATCTCTTCTCTTAGACCTTCACTCTACCCCAGAAATACTGGATACTTTTTTTTTTTTTTTTAAATTACTTTCAACTACTTTGGCTTAATTGACATTCTCACTGAATCTATTTTATTTTTATTTTTATTTTTTTCTGTTCCTTCCCACCCCCAACCTTTCTTCTCTAAAGGACTATTTTTGCCTCATTCTCCCTCAGATTTCTCAAGTATCATGCTAAAATAATAATACTAATTACCTTGGATACAGGCAGACCTCCTGGCAATGTTACAGGTAAATAAATATTGACATTTCTGTAAAGACTTCTGGAAAAGTTGACATGTTAGAGGATGGGGTGTAGGTAGCAAAGACCTGTAATGTGTAATCAGTAGAAAAGGCAGGTGGATCACTGATCTCGGACCACATGCTAAATGTGTCTGTCCAAAATGAAAATAGAGTTTTCTTGAAAGATCCTTGAGGTTATTCCCATCGAAATAAGTTAAAATAAACAAACAAAAAACTAGCATCCTGATTTATTCATGTTCTAGGAAGCTCAGTATTGAGAAGTTGAGAAGACTTCTCACTTATGCTATTCTTCTTCCTCTCTTGAGTTTGCTCAACTTTTCACGTGTAAATTTATAATTTTTTTCAAGAAAAAAAGAAAAACTTCTCAAGTATAAGCATTGCCTGAATCAAATTAAAAAAAACTATATATATTTGTATAGAGATGGGGCTTTCCAAGCGCAAACTTGGAATAACTGTTCTCTTTGTTAGAATAAAATTTCCTGTAATGACTTGCTGTGCAGCTGTTACAAGAGGTAGTTGGGCAAAGGGAGGGGAGAGAAGGAAACTTGGCGTGGAACTCTCACCCTCTGAGAAACAAAATTTTCTTCAAGTTGGCAAGTATTACAACAAGCTTTGGCAACCAGGGCCTTTTTGATTTGCCTGAAGAATTATGCGTTGCAAATTTCTATGTAAACACGCATGTCGTGCGCCGAATTTTCCAGCCTGCTGCGAAGAGGCAGACATCCCATGAATGTACAAGTGTCTATATTAATTGCCAGTGAAATAAGGATATGTATACCGGGTGGCAGAGGAGACCTCTTTAGAGTTTCCATATGCTTGAAATCAGTCCAGCTTTCTGCATACATATATATTAGTGGCACAACCTGCCTGTGAAAATCGGAATGATTCTGTGCCTCTTGCGTTGTGCTTGCTCTGTGGTAATGTAGCTCTGCTGACACGAGGGGTCAGCACTAAGCTACTGAAAAAGTACCCACTGGTAGCGAAGTCCTGGTATCTTCACAGAGGGCTTCACCGTTTGAAGTGAACCCAGTGCTTGCACAGTGCTGGTTGCAGGTGCTCGTGGCAGTTGAGGAAACACTTCTATTTCAGGCTGCTGCTTTCAAATGAAGTTGACATCCGACTCGAAGTCTAAATTAAGACAGTTGGGCAGTAACACTGTGCCATAAGACTGTGTCTTGTGTTGCTGCTGTTCTCTTGGGCAACTGTGTCATATGGCTCTTTTCATATATATCTTGGTTAACTTTTCATTATCCTGGCTAAGTTTTTTTTTCTCCTGCACTTCCTGTTGGAACGCTTCCCTAATCCTACCTTCTCTGATGGCTACTTCTCTTAATATCTTGAGAAAATATGTCCATAGATGTTTGTTCTTGTATTGTAGTTGTCATTCACTTTGCATAAGTCTTCTCCCTACATCTTCTCTCGGTATCTATACACAGTAACTTCACATCTTGATTCATAACTGGAAATTTGTCAAGTTTAAAGGCCGTCACTTTGTTTCCTCCAAGGTCACTCTATAAGAATTTTCTTTTGCTACACCTTCTGGGGTAGAGAGTGGTGCCTACAGGACAAAGACTTGTCTTACGGTTGTTGGGAACAGGAGTCCCTTGTTTATGGCCTGTTTCCCATCCAGGCCCCTCTGAAGCAGTATCCCAGAGTCTTCACAGGGGAGGTGGAAAGAGTTGGTATGATGGGACGAGGGTTTCTTCTGGCAGGAAAATGAATGATGAGAGTTCTTGAGAACTGGTAATGATGCCCAGGAAGCTGGATTACATTTGAGCTGTCTTGATAACTGAAGATTTATGTAAATTTTCTTTGGACTGTGTTGTTTGGCAGACTGAAACTCTGTTTTGAGTTTCGTGTCTGAATGCAGTTAAAATCAAAACATGAAATTTGTTCAAAACTACTGTTCCTGACGTCTGCAGTATGGCACAATTTTGCTCATAGCTTGTTACAAGTTTGCATAATAGCAAGCATTGTTTGCCAGAAGTTCATAAATGTTACTAAACTGGGGCTTTCAGGTTAATAAAATAACATTAAATGTATTTTAAAAAACTTCAGAGCAGGAGAAATCTATCTTTCTTATACCAGAGAGAGCTGGGCATGCTGGTACAATGTAGTGCACAGTAGACTGCCCTGGCGAAGGTGGTTTTCTGTGGTTTTAGAACATCTTTCCCTTTTTCAGGCCCTTTAGTATATGCTTTCCATCTGGATATTACTCTGAGAAAAGGCTAAAAGCTATCAAACCCTGCAAGTGTGACACTGGCATTTGGTATCACCTTCCTGAAGAAGGTGATGGTTACCTGATGTGTAAGAAATGACCCAAAACATCTTTCAGTTTAAGGCATGTGTATGAAATAATTGCAAAATGCAGCAGCCTCTCTGGGCTGCATCTATGGTACAATGACCTCTTCAGCTGTGAGTACCAGCAGAGGCTGTGGAGCAGCTCAGGAGATAAACTGCATCCAGCTCTGCTGTTTGTGCCGAGTCTGGTTTAGAGTCCGTTATCCCTCAGGCCAAGGCAGCCTCCTGCCCAGGGCTTCTCCTGGCCCAGCTTAGCTGCTCCCCTCCTCCCTGCCAAAACCTCTGTCTCTTGGAGGTGCAGGGGCCACGATCTAGGAGCCCTCAGGGTTTCATATGTGCTAATATCCCAGTGCCACTGGCACCCAGTGTTTGGAATAGAATTTTTCCTGGAATCAGGGAAATTGGCCGGTGGCTGAAGATCAGGAATGACCATAGCAGCAACAGACTAAGGCCTCAGCCATGACCGTAACTTAGCCATGTGCAAGCTAGTGTCTAATTCTTAATGAATTTGGATAGTCAGTGGAGAAAATAGGAGAAAATACTGGACAGCATGAGTGTCCCAGGTATCGGTTTGCCTCTGTTGTATTGACAATCTCTACTTCAACTTTCCTCAAGTGCCAGGAGGCTGCTGGTTGCTGGTGGCTCCTGTTGCTTGTCCACAGCAGTGGGTACTGTCCTGTGTCCCTGCAGGAGATGACCCACCTGGCTGTAATTGCTGAGAATTCCAGCAGCAGCTTTGATCTATCAACTTCCCACTAGCACAAACACAAATTTTCACAGCCTTTAGGGTGCTATAAATTAAAGCTTTGCTTTTCAGAGCTGGAAGTAATAACTGAAGCAAACCCATATGCTCATGTTGGAACAGTTGTTAAACCTTTACTTTGAGTCTGAACTCTACTTTAGCCAATACTGAAAGAAATATAGATCCAAGCAGAAGAATAAACACAGCCCACAGTTAATGGCTCAGTTCTTTTACTACTCCGAAGTGGTTTTTGGTGGTTTAGGCTGGAGATCCCCAGAGCAGCCCGGGATTTGTTCATCAGATGGTTCTCTTCACTGCCCTGCAGCAGCCAGGTCTCCGAAAGATTGTGAGCTGGATTAGGTAGTGCAGCGCTACACTTAAAATAGTGCAGTGATGGCTCCCTGCTCCCGTGTCTTGCGAGTCTGGGAAAGCCGAAGGGTATTGACTCTGTAGCCTCTGCTTTTGTTTTTGTATCATGGGTATTCTGATTTCTGCAGACTTCTTAACCTTCTTGAGAAAGTTTCAGGAACTTGGTAATGTTTTCACATTGGACTGCTTTTTTTGCCCCTGAAATATTTATGTTAAAGTCTTTTTCTCCAATAAAAAGTTCTCTAAAACTTTCCACTATTCCTTTGGTCTTAATCTTAGCATACACTTCTTGCAGTGTATTTGATTTCTGTGCATTCTTCCTTTGGAAGTGATAGCTGAATCGAAAATTCAGACATAATTTCTGTAGCAGTAACCATTCATTTTCTCCTGAGACACTGTATATATTTCTGACAGGCCATAATAATAAGAGATGACTTAAAGATTTTTTTTTCTGTAGATTTCAAAGTATTTTTTAAAAAATAAGGTAATTGTCCTTATTTTCACCATGTATATAGGGAATCTGAAACAGTGAAAAATTCTGTTAACCTCTTTAAGGTCCTGTGACTAATAAAAGAAGGGGGAATAGGTCAAAGGTCTTTTTAGAGCAAGCTGCTTTCATCCAGGTGCATAGACACTGTGTCCAATATCTAAAATTTTCTGTGAATTTTACATAGCTCATGAGTTGAATCTAGCATCTGATCTGTTTTTTTTTTTATTATAATTATTTCCTAGAATACATAGGGACCTTAAGTGTTTTCTCTAGATCCATTTATCATTACTCTTTTCCAAGTGCTGGTAATACTCGATATTTAAGCTGTGTGTTTTTTAGAAAAAAGTATGGTTGCATGTTTTTATTATGCAGCCTGTTCATTTTTTCCCTTGTTCAATCCCTAAGGCTTCTTGTTTTCTGTGGTAGGCTTGGCCACTTTAAATTGCGACTTTTTGGACAAAAAAAAAAAAAAAAAACAGTTTGCCTTCTAATCTTATAATTTAGATCAGCAAGCTCATATCAAGCTCATGGAATCATGTTACCTCAGAAGAGGAGTTGTGCTGACCCTTGTCTTTAGACCCAGGCCTGTGTGTTTTCACTAATGAGTGCGATGTATAGTTTAATGTCATAAGACAAAAATTATAAAAATTAAATCTCTCCAGGCAGAAAACTATATCAAAAACTATATCACTAGTATTGCAAAGAAGTTCTCCCATTTTCTTCAGTAATGAGTGCTATGTATAGTTTAATCTCATAAGACAAAAATGATAAAAATTAAATCTCTCCAAACAGGCAGAAAACTATATCATTAGTATTGCAAAGAAGTTCTCCCATTTTGTAGAGCAAAACCGAGCTACTGCAGGGAGAAATAAATACAAAAATCATAGCAAATCCTGAATTGTATAGATGAGCATTAAAACTCCCTGAGATGCCTGTAACTGCTCATGGAAATGTAACTTCTAAAAGCACTTTGTTCTTATGTTCTAGCTGTCTTTTTCCTGGTAACTACGTTGTTTCATTATTTCTTTCCTAGCTGCAACAATGGTGGAAGCTGGAAAAGACAAGAAGAACCCGGATGAGTTTGCAATGGCATTGGATGAAAGTCTTGGGGACTTTGCTTTTCCGGATGAGTTTGTCTTTGATGTATGGGGAGCAATAGGTGATGCCAAGCAAGGGCGACTTGAATGAAAACTGGGCAATTTATCAATCTCTGTTTGAAAATAGAAAATTGTTTTCAAGTATATATATATCAGAATTTTTTACTGATGTGGATCCATGATGCCGGCATGCACCAAAGAGTTTGGATTTTATGTCGTCAAAAAAAAATTATAAGCTCAATGAAACACTACCTAGCGATACACTTTAATTCCCTGGTCATCTTTTGTTCTTAGTTTGCAAGCACACAGAACTGTGGAAAACTTGGAGCCTCAGGTTTTCTTGCGCTATTTCTGGAAAAGCTGAATTCAGGGACCAAAAATTTCTTCTGAAATGTGAGAGGTGATATCTTTGAATGAGAAGGACCTTGTTTTCACCCTTGTTTTCCTTTGGGTCAATACATGTTGTCTACATACTGCTAAGAAATACTGAAAACGGATAGAAAGCTGCTGCTTTACTCTCAGATGCCATACTGTTGCAATAGTATGCAATATTAATTAATATTGCGATATTAATTTTGATTACTATTCCTATAATTGAATAATAGCTGTTGGGCTGTGCTGTAAGCCATAGTATATGACTAATCAAGTGCTTAACTTGTCTTTGCATATGCTAAATGCTTTGCTGAGATCAAATGATTTTTTTTTTGTTATTTTCTTCACATGGCGACATAAGAGACACATTTAAAGGGGTGTTCGAAACTGGAGGTCTTTTCATGCAGTCTGTCGTTGTTTACATTTTACATCTTGCTTTAAAATCTCAGTCGCAGATGGGATGATATGCATACCTAAAACCTAAAAATATATTTAATTCACTTTAGAGGCTTGATTTTCAAATTATGTTGTACATAAACATATTTCCTTTTATGATAATGTCTTAAGTATCACAGATTATTAAAAATAAACTCTCTTTCAATAATCCACTAGGCCTGTGTTTATATTGCTGTGTTTATATTGCTGTTGAATCAAGAGCCATGGAATACGTTTTGTTTTTGTTTATAACCAGGTTCATTTTCAATTTTTGCTGTGTTTGGTTTTAATCAAGTCAGACGTCTGCTTGTATGTTTAGAAACGGCTATCTACTTGATTATTATATGGATTCCAAAGTTTTTAAAAAAGTGTGTGTGTATATATATGTGCATATATATATGTGTATGTATATATATGTATATATATTTATATAATGCATGTTACATTTAGCCAAATAGCATATAACAAGTGCCCTCCACAACAAAATAGAGCAAGATTGTGGTCCTAACCTGGGAAGGTATCATCTAGTGTTTTTATGTTTGCACAAGTGTATAAAATAATAGATATTAAAAAAAGAGTATTTTCTAAATCACCTGCTAGTTACTTTTCCTCTGAGGAAAATTTGAAAATTCTTTCACTGTCTTTAGATATCTACCTTTAAAATAAAGACTATGCCAAGACATTTCTACCTTCTATGTTAATGTACTAGTCTAAAAGCAACATTGAAGCACTAGTGGAAAATTACACTCCTAAGAGTTTTTTATCTGAAAACTGATGGTTTACGCTGTCTCTGGGTAAACTGCAGCTTCTTTTAAACCTCTTATGGTACCGTTGTATGGTTGTGTCAGTCTTACCAAGTGGGCTGTTGCCTTTTCTTCTCTAGCTTTTGCATGCTAAGTGCCGATGTTATAATATTATAGTATATATGGTATAGTGTTATAGTAATGATGATTTCACACTTTTAAAGATGATAACATTACAAATTACAGATATATCTTTAGTATGTCAGAGGCTATAGTGAAGTCAGAAGAAGAATAGTCTTAGTGTTCTTTTTTGCCAGGAGGTATTTCAGAAAAATTAGATTTCAAGGTATACTTGCCTCTTTGAATTAGATATCAAGATACTTGTCCCTTTGAATACAGCTGCACGTTTGCCATGAACTCCAGAGCTCCACTGTTTAGCAGCAAGAGCTTAATCTGATCTTGATTTTCATTATTGTTTTCTTTTCCAGTTCTACTTTGACTGTTTGTAAGGCCTTTTAAATTAAGAAGTCATTATATTTTGAAAGGTCTATGATATATATTTTTTATGAGAAATAGGAAAAAAATTACAGGTTTGAAAAGTCAAAAATAGTGAACATCATTGCTAGCTGGTTCTTAACCTTTCCAGCCGCAAAGAGATTTTGAGTCTGTGGTTCAGACTAGAGCTCGTTCAAAATAAATCCCTGCTGTGAAGAGGCTGAGTCCTCAACACCAATATTTTCACCCATCAGAGCTGCTTCTATGGTGCTGTGATTGATGACTGAGAGCGTGCTCACGGCCAAGGGGTACCCATTGCCTTGCCCTGTTTGTGTATAATAGGAATGTTGCCTCAGGAATATAGCGTGAAGATTAATGCTTAATAAGTAAGTTTTATAACTGTGCATGCTTTTCTTTCTTGGAAATTATCTGTAATGTTTTGGTCTTTGGAGGAAGAAAGGTTTGTCTGAAACCAATGGTTACAAAAAATGGTTCCACGAGATTTTTTTATTGTGTTTTGCTAGGTGTTGTATCTCTGAGTGAACTTTCCATGGAGACAGAGGGAATGAAAACAAGACTCGTTGTAGTATTTCCATCTAAAATACATAATGTCTGAAATGTTGATCACTAAATATGTTTTATGTTGACTTGTTTCTTTTGTGCTCTTTTAGGATGAATGATTATATTTTTATTATTTTATTATTTATGTTTTTGTGGTACATAAGCTATATTAATTAACCACTTAAAAATACCATATTACAATTTCAGATGAACTCTAATTGGAGAAATATATTGCATCAAAATACCTGGATGATATGTAAGAATGCAAGCTCCTGTCTGATGAAAATCTTGGTTTATTTTCCTTTTTAATAAGGAAATAAGTTAATGGAATAGTAAATGGCCAGGCAGGAAAACTTTTGATTTGATGGAAACAGCTTTTAATGACAAATTTATGATCACAAGTTGTATTTTTAATTCTACAGGTGATCTAACAGTGATTTGTTTAATCCTTCCACTTAAGACATTTTTTTCCAATAAAAGCACCACATTCCTCTCCATATGTACAAACTATTTCTGTTTTGAAACAGGAAAGAAAGCATAATTATTGGATATAATCCCCTATTCTTCCTTCAATTTTGGACAAGCAGAGATTCACTAACCATTAAAGTGGTGGTAAAACAATAAGCTCTAAAGATTTTCCACAGTTCAGGGAGAGCGCACGTTGTGACAGCATGTGCCAGGCAAGGCTGCTGCTCTCGCAGAGCCATCTCTAACCCATTGGCCTCTGTGCCTGATGTTTTGTGTTCATGGTTGTTGTTTGTTTGGGTTTTTTTTTTTTTTTTTGAAAGGAATGATACCTGAAATATTAATTATATTTTTTCTTAAAGTTATCTGTTGTGACTAGTAATTGTAAAAGTAATTAATGGGCATATTCAGGTAAGTAGCCTATATAGACTCTTCCACTGCATCATTTTTTCCAAATAAAGAATTATTTCACTGTCCAGCTCGTGAAAACTTTGTGGCTATCTCTCTGCTCTGGCTTTTCTATTGATAGAGTGGTTTTCATTTGTGGAAGTACCTGCTGAGTTTGATGTGCTGGTGCCGTAGGTGTTATTAAGGACAAAAACTTTTTGTCACTTCCACGGCTCGCGTCCTGGCACTGAGGCTCTGTGCTGTAGCAGGGATGTGTGAAACTGTGGTCTTGGTTCTTATATTAGTGAAAAACAGCACATGGCATTTGTATCTCTTAAATCTATTTCTCTCTTTTTATATTAATGTATTTGTGTACAGCTGAATTAGTCACCCTAAAAGAAGAATGTGTTTATCTGTGGTAGGGCTTCCTATTCTCAGTGCCTGCTCTGGTCTGTTAGTCTGGAACAGAAATGTGGTTTTGGAGCAAATCATCTTCATTTACTGCACATGGATTCAATACACAGAGCACTTTTGATATTCATGAACTAAATGTCTTTTGCAGGAAACTGAACTGGAAAGACTGTCCAGGGGTGAACCAGATATGTCCTCTGGGCAACCTCATTCTGCATACGTGGTCCCAGGACTAGGCTACATCTAGCCCTAGCCCAATATATCGATCACATGCATCTCCATGTCCTGGAGCTCCAGAACCAGCTGCTCCAGTCTAGGTTTTTTTGCACTGATTCTTTAGATATTTTAGACAACCAAGTTGGCCTTGGCCATATGTTCTCAAGTTGCTATGCGGAGCTGCCAGTATTTCTTTGAAGTTGCCCTGGGAGCTTTTAGAAATCGATCAGTCTGCAGAAAGTTACTTCAGTAAGGGATGTATTGTGATTGAAATGGTGAAATTGTGCTTGTTATATCACATAAAAGAACAGCTTGTGTTTATGTGCCTATGCTATTTGTTAGCTTGTCTGCCATAATCTGAAAAATTAACACTTTACTCTCCCAGTTAATTTGCTGAATTTAAAATAAGTGATAGCAAGGATAATTCCTAGTAATAGTGTATTAAGAATTTCTTTAAATAGAAAATCCATGCATATTGAAAAAATTTCCACTTGAACTACCTGGAACTGTGGATATTTTCTTTATCTTTATATTATTTTCTTTATACTCTCTTACAGTGCCTCAGTTCCCCACTCAGTGTCATACAAAACCTCCTAAATTAAATTTTTATTTAGATTGTCAAGTTTTTAAAACATAGATCATTACAGGTCAAAATAAAATGTTGTTTGAGCAAAAAGTCAGAGATTCATGTAAATCCTAAGATTGCAGAGAATTAGATGTGGAGACTCAGGAAATATTTTGCTCCATTTTAACATTTTTCAAGTACAAATCTTTGTCTTATTGAAACAAATTTATGACATTATTGAAAAAGCTTATCCAAATCAAAATTCTGTCTTTCAGAATTGGTATTTTTCGAGTTTTTGCTGCATGAGCAAAACAAAATCATCACTATGACATAAGAGAATAATCATGTAAACAATGTCAAAATGTTGGAATTTTGCCTACAATGAGGATTTTGTTTCCTATGGGTATTTTTGCAGAGAATCTTAATTAATGAGCTTAAGTTTTGAAACCAGTAAGCTTTTTTCTAAATATATCCAGGTGAGTT